GGGCAGCGGCGCTTGTGCCCCGCGGCGCCGGCGCCTCGGGGTCTGTGAGGCTGCCCCGAGTGCTTGGAACGCAGAAATACCTGGCTGTGCACAGGCGTGTGGTTGCAGAAGTGTCCTTAACTTCTTTAAAAACCTCAACAAAGTATCGCTTTTGAACGGCCTTTTCAAAGCGAAGGTTGTGTGGTGGCGGTGGTGTTATTTCATATCAATTCTGGCTTACAGGCGACACACTGCACTCGCTTTGGAGCCTAGTTGCGTTTACCAACTTTCAGTCAGGCTCCTGGACATTTGAAACGCGCAGGTAATCTTAATGAATCAGATTTTGGAGAGAAAGCAAAGACTTTTTACTTGTTCTGTATTAAGTTTTGTTGTAGCATAGGATAAGAATTCTCTTCTAGCAGTATTTGGAAAGAAGTGGGATTAGCAAGTAATTATGCTGTTAGATGAGAATGTTCACACCAAATACACAGCTAAACCATATCTATTTGTCCCACAGCACTGTGTCAAACCTGTGTTTTTAAGGTTACAAATTTGTTCTTTGTTTTAGCAGCACCTTGTTTCAGCTTTAGTTTCACTGTACTGGCTTTAGATTGCTGCTCAGCATCTTTAACCATTCAGAAAGATATAGGAATGTGGTGGTGAAAAACTGACTAACATCAGTACTTACTTTGGGTATTTGAGCTCAGAATTTGTGCAGTGGGATGGTCTTTTTTTTTTTTTAATTAGCTTGCTTTTATAAGATGTCATGAGGGTTTTTTTACATCATTGTATTAAAAAAACCCCACTAAATAAACATTTGTTGTAGAGCGAAACTTGTATTATTAGAACTGACTTCTTACATTGAAGTCTTCTAAACTTCGGCTATGATGGAAGCTTGCTTTATTTTCTTCTCTTTTACTGTCTTCAGACAAAATTTCTTGTCTGTCCCTCATGCTGAGCAGTACCTTCCCCTGAAAGGGTTCATGTTGGTCTAATTTAAAATAACTGTAGACTACAGTTTGAGACTTGAAGAGTGAATACAGCATAATGGTCTGCTCTATAATGGCACTTTAAATTACAGCATCAATTTAATGTAAGAAATCCAAGAGAACAAAATGCAATACAATTTCATTGAAGGATATGTGAGGTTTCACAGATTTTTCTTGATTAAATCACAAGTGAACAAGGTTTCTAGATTGAAAACAGTTTCTGATGTTAATTTTGTTTTCATTTACTATATATCTATTTGTTTAACATAGTGCAAGGCGCACTTAGTAATATTCCCTCATCTTGATAGGAACATAAATAACTCTCCTCACGTAATTAAATTTAAAACCAGTGGTGTTTTACTTTGAGCTGGCTATCTAATAGTAAACTGGAAAACATCAGTGCCTGTTTTTAAGTATTCTGTCTGAGTGCGCAGGTCTGAAAGCTGGAGCATGGTGTTCTTTCTGTACTTGCTTTCCTTGTCAAGGGCTACATCTATAGTATGTAAAACTGTAGCATGCAATATACCTTGGACTCTGCTGTTCCACCATGATACTGTAACAGTGTCATTTGTGACAAGGTGTGGGTTTTGGAGGGAGGGAAAAGGTTTTAGTATTTGTGGGGGAGATGGATTTTTGCATGATTTGAGGAAAGGGTTTAAAAAAAGGGGGGGGGGGAACAAGGGGGGGGAGGATAAATTTATGGTAACATCACAGCATATGAGCTAGCTGGAATTCCGGTGCATTTTCTTGAGTTTGTTGTGTTATAAATAATGCATGATCGTGTGACTGATAATGCTTTCAAAATGTATCTTAGGTTATAGCCTCCTCCAGTGTCCACTGATATAAATGGAAAGGGCCTCTGATTTCAGTGGGTTTTGGATAAAGCTTTGAAACACTTCGTACTTCCTGGAAGGCTTTCTTGCTTGAATGAAAGGGTTATTGTGCACTGTTTTTTTCCCCCTCCTTCTTATTTCTGTGCTGAAAAATAGATTCTGAATCCTTGTACTGTTGAAACAATTTGCTTTATAAGTGTCCATTGTTGGAAGAGGGGCACTGGCACTTCAGCTGGTGGGTGCAGGGCTGGGGAGCGGGATGCTTCCCCAGCATGGTGAAGCTGGGCGCAGCGGGTCTTGCCAGGGCTTTCCTGTGTCAGGGCTGCCGGAGCTCAGCCTGGCATGATGTCATCGCCGCCCCACCGCCGCAGGGAACTGGCGGTTGCTGCCAGGGCCCCTGGGGATGCTGCCGGCGGACTTTGTTCTCACCAAGCTAATGAAATTGTGTATTTCAGGTATTCGACCTTAATACTGATGATATAGCGTTTTCTGCAGACTTACAAATGAAGCATAAGATCATGAATTGATGCTCAGTATAGTTACTTTGCTTGAAGAGACACCTCTGATAGCGGTTTTCCTTTGTATGTTGGAAGCTTATGAAATAGCACAGCTGTAACACTTCTTCCTGAAAAAGTTGGCTGACTGACAGAAAATGCAGTGTGTGTGTGTGTGTGTGTCTCTCTCTGCTTGTGTTCTTTTAATATAGTGATAAATACTGTACTTAGGGCTTTGTAGTTTGCATGGGTTAAAGACAGCATGTTTGCTGTTGCTAGGGCTTTTTTATCCCCAAATTCAAGTGATCTGGTTATCTGGGCATCTTTCTTATTTTGATAAGTGTGTTCACACTGGCTGATCTGTTAAAGAAAATAGAAAAACAATTACTAGCTGGTAGTAAAACAAAACAAACAAACAACAACACCCCAACACTGGGTGAAGCTAAAGCTTCATCCAGTATCACTTGCTGAGCTGGACAAGAGAGGAACTGAGGTGCATTTCCACATTTCTAGTGGCTGTTGATGTGCCAGAAGTGATGACAGAAATCTTTTAAGTATTCTGCAAAGATTTGTTACAGATACATTTCCTTCATAGAGGAAATCACAGAATGGTTGAGGTTGGAAGTGACCTCTGGAGGTTCTTGGGTCCAACCCCCTTGCTGAAGCAGGGCTACCTAGGGCCAGTTGCCCAGGACAGTGTCCAGACGATTTATTAATATTTCCAAGGATGGAGACTCCACAACCTCTCTGGGTAACCTGTGCCAGTCACTGCTCAGTCACCCTCACAGTGAAAAATTGTGTTCTGATGTTCAGATAGAACCTCCTGTGTTTCAGTTTGTGCCCATTGCCTCTAGTACTGTCATGAGGCACCGCTGAAAAGAGCCTGGCTCCGTCCTCTTTGCACCCTCTCTTCAGGTATTTCTATATATTGATAAGATTCCCCCTTGAGCCATCTCTTCCGCAGGCTAAACCGTCCCAGCTCTCTCAGCCTTTCCTCACATGAGTGAGGAGGTCCCTTAACCATCTTCGTGGCCCTTTGCTGGACTCTATCCACTGTGTCTGAGTCTGTCTTATACTAAGGAACGTAGAACTGGGCACAGCACTCTAGGTGTGGCCTCCCCAGCGCTGAGTAAAGGGGAAAGATTCACCTCCCTTGATCTGTGGGTGATGCTTTGACTAATGCAGCCCAAGATACCATTTGCCTTCTTTGCAGCTGGGGCACATTGCTGGCTCATGGTTGACTTGGTGTCCACCACGAAATAATAAAATACATCAGCTACCAAAAATCTGCTGTGTGTAATATAACTGATTGTAATGCTGCAACATTATGATAGGATTTCTTAATTTAGATTGTATGACTGTGCCCTGGAAAGATAATGAGAATGAAGTCATGCCTCATCTCATTTTTCAACTGGAGTCCATTACCTGTTGGGTTAGTTAAATGTGATCTGAATGATGGTGGAAATACTCGCACAATATGGAACTGCTGGAGTTTTTGTTCTACGTTCTTTTTCACTACAGATTTTGTTTTCTTTTCCTCCTCTGTGGTGTGTCAGTTTTTAACAATCACTTGTCGATAGAGTTTGTTTATCATGGAATGGAAAAACAAGGATCAACTTGCCATTGCATTATACTTATGTGTAATTGTAGTCTGGGAGTTGCTATTACAAAATAGGTGACTGGGACCTAAATATCTGGACACCATATTCTAATCTAAGATTTTTCTGTTGCACGTGCCTTAGTAGTCTTGAATGTGATATCATAAAGATGATAATAGTTATTTCAGAAATAAGTCTTACAAAGGAGATATAGTGTAAAAAAGAAAGAAAATCCTTATAATCTGTGAAGAAAAGATTGATGATTTAATAATAGGACTGTTTTTTAAAGAAAATCTTATTCTGGAAGACTAAGGCCAGTGACTGGTCTGTCACCTGTATTAATTTTTGCCTTTCTTCCCAATCTGAGCTGGTCTTCTAAGGTTTCGTCCAAAAATTAATTTATTCAGTAGATGGACTTGTGTTCCTTTTGCCAAAGTCCTTATCACGGTGCTTCGAGTTGTCTATCTGATCATGAGCTTCATCCTTAAAGGAGGATGAAAATGAGTGTTAGGTGAAGCCCATGTGTCCAGGAAGTATCCTTCCTTGTAGGCACCCTTCATGTGCCTTTTCCGAATCCATATTAGATCTCCTTTTGCTGTAGTGTATGATGATGTGATACCATTTTAATTATTCTTTGTCTCTCATACCTTTTTTGTTTTAATGGTGTTGAGGCAAGATCTGTGTGTGTGTAGATTATGTAGTGTAACGGGACTGATGATGAGCGAGGCATCTATCTGTATGCTGGCACAGTAGCCGCTTTGTTAGTGCTGGTGTATGAAATTCTAAGATGATACCCGGTGTATAGTATTTACCTAGCTCCACTCAAAATTAATCTGACAAACTGATATTAGAGCAAGTGTTCCGCCTCACCTGTAAAATAGAAGTGTTGTCTCACCTCATTGCTCTGTCTGTAATTGAAGTGTCGCTATTTTTCTATTTTGTTGGCTTCCGATTTAAAATGACAGCTTATCTTCATGTTTCCTGTTGATAGGGTTTATTTTAACAGCATTCTGTATCAATATAAACTTTTAAAAAATATGGGTGTGATGAAATGTTTGAAGGCATTTGCCACATACATAAGCCAATACACTGCTTAGTATTTCAGAATTGGGGTAATAGTTTCCTTTGTGGTAGTCAGCATAGTAATGCTGTTATCAGTGCCTGTATTAGCTTCCAAGTTCAACAGACTTGAATAGTTACAGGCTTTTGATTTTCCT